TGGGAGGATCAGATGAGATGACCAGGCACAAAGCAATCCCTCAAATACTAGCAATTAAGAATAATAATAATGAAGTGGAGATATTCAGTAACTAACCCAAAAGCACAGTTAAATGAAGCTGTTCACTAACTGACCTACTTAGTGGGTGATGTGTATATAAGTCTGCAAAGATGTTTAATTGAACTTGGCATTTTAGTGGTGGAAGAGGCAGTGTAGGATGGAGATTGATTCATCCCATCCACAAATGCTCAAGCTAAGGATGTGATTTTTTTTCAAGATTTTATTTATTTATTTGAGAGAGAATGAGAGAGAGAGAGAGCCTGAGCAGGGTGAGGGGCAAAGGGAGAAGCAGACTCCCTGCTGAGCACGATCTTAGGACTTTGGGATCATGACCTGAGCCGAAGGCAGATGCTTAACTGACTGAGCCACCCAAGCACCCCTATGGATGGACGTGATCTTAAGAGGCAGGGTCCCTGCTGTACTGAGCAGAACAGTCTAGCAGTGGGGGATGGGCATAAAAACGAGAAAACTCATAACAAATGATAGGTGCTCTGTGAAGATAAAGGTCTTTAGGGTTACTTTGGATAGATTGGAGAAGGTATCTCTCTGGAGGAGATGTTGAGGCTGGGATCACAGAATCATATTTTAAGATTTGAGAGAGTTCGAGAGACGATACATTGATTGTTTGTTAGAAGCTCCCTGAAGTTTTGGTAATTTCCCACTAAGAAAATATGGTGATCTGTCATTAGTATATCCCGGGGACTGTCAACAAACTTGGCAGCATATGGCAGGGAAGGAAAAAAAAAAAAAAAAGATCAAAAGCACTAATTCACAAAACTGCCGGTTATTCATTCATTTTTGGAGCTCTGGGATGATTGCGTTAGGAAATGTTTTACAGGAGAGTTGGGTAAGTGACGTCCTGATTTCATTATAGTTGTCAACATGTAAGGTTTTACAGCTACATGAAATTTTAAGTAGAAAACCATTTTATTTTCATTATCACTGAAAAACTCTAAAGTGTGCTGTGCTGGTGAGAGTAGTAATAATGAACATAGTGAATCCTTGAGGCTTTTCCTTTGAACATCAATTTTGATTTTTTTAGAGCTGTATTTGTCAAAAAAGGTTGAATACATTAAGTAGAATGCATGCTCCAAAGACAGAATTTTAAACTAGCATTTAAAAGCCTATTTATTTACTGGGGCACCTGCATGGCTTAGTTGGTTGGGCATCTGCCTTCAGGTCAGGTCATGATCTCAGGGTTCTGGGTTCAAGCCCCACATCTGGCTCCCTGCTCAGGGGGAGTCTGCTTCTCTCTCTCCTCCTGCCACTCCCCCTCACCACGCTCCTGTGCTCTCTTTCTCTCAAATAAAATCTTTAAAAAAAAAAAAGTACAATAGCATTTTAAAAAAAAAGTCCATTTTTTATTACAGAAAATGTGGAACAGAGAAAAAATTGGAATTGTTTTAAATGATCCCTAATTCCACTTAATGAAGTACTTACACTTTTAAGATTTTTTCCTTATTTTTTCCTATATTTTTAAAAGATAGTCAAGAAATATGTGTATGTATATATCTTTATATCTATAAAATATGTGTGTATATGTATACATACGTATATAATTATTTATAATTAAAATAATGGCATGTGCTTCTTCTCATATTACCACAGCTTCATGGTAAATATGATTTTCAGTGGCTGTATAATATTCCGTCCTGTGGACTGTTTTTCAGTTTCCCCATATGAACTTTATTTGCTCTCATTGTGTTTCTCCCGGATGTATGATTTGAGGCTGTGAGATAGGGAGGTGCTTGGTGGGAGTTCTGGTTAATTATGTTTTCTTCTGGGGCACCTGGGTGGCTCAGTCAGTTAAGCATCTGCCTTCACCTCAGGTCATGATCTCAGTGTCCTGGGATCCAGCCCCACATCAGGGTCCCCACTCGGTGGGAAGCCTCTTCTCCCTCTCTCTCTCTGCCTACTGCTCCCTCTGCTTGTGCTCTCTCTCTGTCAAATAAATAAAATCTTTTTAAAAAATTATGGTTTTTTTCTGTGTCTTCTCAACTTTGGAAGACAAAACTGCTTCTCAGTCTCAAGATGATTTTTTGTCAAAATATGTCTAAGAATGTGCCACTTGGGTTTTGATGGGGGGGAGCTGAATATGAAGACTTTTCAAATAAAAATCATTAAGGTTTTCTGATATCATATAATTACAAATTTCTCCAGGTTTGTGAACCAAAGCTAAAATGTTAAGACCCCTTCCAAAGGAAATCAGGAAATTATAAAATTTTTTTGGTAGTATCTTCATACCAACATCTTTCTGACATCTTGATATTGCTGATGAGTTAGTCAAGGATAACGTAACTTTTAAATTAGAAATGCATTTCTCTTAGCTATCCAGATTATCTAGCAAAATAAAATACATGAAATTTTTTTTAAAGATTTTATTTATTTATTTGACAGATAGAGATCACAAGTAGGCAGAGAGGCAGGCAGAGAGAGAGGAGGAAGCAGGCTCCCCGCTGAGCAGAGAGCCCGATGTGGGGCTCGATCCCAGAACCCTGAGATCATGACCTGAGCCGAAGGCAGAGGCTTAACCCACTGAGCCACCCAGGTGCCCCTGAAATATTTTTTATTAGTGAAAGGACACATCATAATTGCACCATGAAAATTTCCCTTGGGCTATTTGTCTTGAATTTCTATATACTTCCAACACTATTGAACGCTGAATTTTCTCCTTGAATATTTAAATTGAATTTCACTAGATTAGTATCTCCTGTTCAATTCTCATATGCTGCTGGTAGGATTGGAAATACGATTTGTATTTAAGGACAGTTCAACAGTCTGTATCAGAAGTCTTTAAATAAATTTATATTCTTTACTTCAGCAACTTGAAATGTGTGGATTAATCCTAAGCAAATAATTGGCCAAGTATGTAGAGATTAATGCACAAGAAACCAGCCTTGCTTATAGAGGGTAAATATTGGAGACAATTGAAATATCCAACATTTAGGGATTAGTTAGGTAAGGCGTGTTATGATCATTACTGGAACATTGTGAAGCTATTAAAATTATATATCTGTATTTTTTTAAAGGTTTTATTTATTTATTTGACAGAGAGAGATCACAAGTAGGCAGAGAGGCAGGGGGAAGCAGGCTCCCCACTGAGCAGAGAGCCCAATCCGGGCTCCATCCCAGGACCCTGAGATCATGACCTGAGCCAAAGGTGGAGGCCTAACCCATTGAGCCACACAGGTGACACATATATCTGTATTTTTTAATTTGGGAAAATGACCATGATGCAACATAGGTGTATTGGCCTACTGAATGGAGTTCGCTGCTATCGGCAGTTGAACATTGGTGAATGTCTGCCAAAGAGTAATTTTTGTTTTGTCTTTAAAATCAAGTCCCCTTCCTTGTAATTGAGCTTCTAGAGCCATTTGTCTCTTGAGACCACTCCCAGTTTGCTTATTGTAAGCTTATTAATTGGTATTTTACCTTCCATTTGCTAAGGCACAGAAGTATGTATCTAATTCATTTAAAAGTATCCTTATACCATTAAAATATAAATGAAAAAGAACACTAAGATATATTTGTATTTTGTGCTACTTCAGATTGCTCTCTGATATGCTTATCCTGATTCTTGGATATGGTATAGGACAGCAGAATTTATGAGAGTCTTCAAAGCTAGGCATTTCTATTAAGCTTTTGCTGTTAGAGCCACTTCATTTCCATCAGTGGATTGCTCAGTGCCTGGGCCTACTGGATCTCTGGTTCTCCAGTGAACAAATCACCACCTTATTCCTTGAAAGGGAGCCCACAGGCATTGTCACGCTAAATTTCCCAGCTTTCAGCTACAGTCTCCTTCAACTGGACCCTTCATAGCTGTGGCCAGACCACTGTGAGGCAGAACACCTGGTCTTTCCACCAAGATAGTTGGAGAGGCATCCTTAGCGCCCCTCCCAACCCTTCCTTGGCCAGAATCCCTTAGTTTTGGTGTCCAAGAGATCTTGTCCTGAGATGAGTGTCTTCTGTCTGCCCAGTTTGGGCTGATACCCCAGTTTGGGGTCTACTTTCAGACATATGTCCCAAGAACTTGCCCTCACTTGGCAGGTATGCTCTCACAGTCTTGAATGTCTGCCCAAACTCCAGAGCTCAGTCTTGTCCCTGGAGCCAGGCTCTTCTACCACCTGCTGTGTTGAAAGCCCAGGGAAGGAACCTGAATTAAAGTGGTTGGGTTGGAAAATCCGGTAAGCACATTCACCACCGGTACAATTTGGATTAGGACAATAAGGAAAAAGTGAACAAAAAAGGAAGGAGGAGTACTGAGAACACAGTCTTCAGTCCTGTGTCACATGCTCAATAAGTGAGCCTTGTCATTATAGCTTGATACCAAAAGATGGCGGAAGGAAGCTCGGGAGTGGAATCAGAAGTGGTAGAAAAATGATCTCTTGGGGAATCCATTTGGTTATGTGAAGAGTAACTCAGCACTCAGTTATCTTGTTGACAGTGTGCCTGGCATTACCAACTTGCCCTTGCCTAGTGAACAGAGCCCATATATAAGGAATGAGCTGGAAGCTACCACGAGAAAACATTAATGTGCTATGACGTAATTATTACTGATGCAGAGTGGTATTGCAGGACTCAGAATTATTTGATCTGTTGCCGATCCACGATCAGTCAGTCAGTTAGCCAGCCATTTGTGCAACACCTGTCGTCAGGCAGACAGGGCATTTGGGTCTTGGGAATAAATGGCGACCAAAAGAGGCATAGACCCTCCCTCCCTGAGCTTGCACCTAGACTAGGAAAGAGACAACAGTTACTGAGCAGGATAACTGCTGTAACAAGAGGTCAGGGGCTAGAATCCTGGAGCAAGGGACATTTATGTTGGGATCCGAAGGATTAATGGACGTTGGCTGGAACTGGGTCTTAGCGGGGGCAATTGGTGGTTTAGTGACTGAATTTGCAAAGAGTGATGTTTGTTTCTTCTTTAAATTTCTTTCTAGGATGTTCAGTCCTTCTCCACAATGAATGAGTGTTACTATGACAAGCGGATGGACTTTTTTTACAACAGGAGCAACACAGACACTGCTGATGAGTGGACAGGAACAAAGCTTGTGATCGTGTTGTGTGTTGGAACATTTTTCTGCCTGTTTATTTTTTTTTCGAATTCTCTAGTTATTGCCGCGGTGATCAAAAACAGAAAGTTTCACTTCCCCTTCTACTACCTGTTGGCTAATCTAGCCGCTGCAGATTTCTTTGCCGGAATTGCCTACGTATTCCTGATGTTTAACACTGGCCCCGTGTCAAAAACTTTGACTGTCAACCGCTGGTTTCTCCGCCAGGGGCTCCTGGACACTAGCTTGACCGCCTCTCTGACCAATCTGCTGGTGATTGCTGTGGAGAGGCACATGTCAATCATGAGGATGAGGATCCACAGCAACCTGACGAAAAAGAGGGTTACGCTGCTCATTTTGTGTATCTGGGCCATCGCCATCTTTATGGGGGCTGTCCCCACCCTGGGCTGGAATTGCCTCTGTGACATCTCTGCCTGCTCTTCCCTGGCCCCCATTTATAGCAGGAGTTACCTCATTTTCTGGACCGTGTCCAACCTTGTGGCCTTTTTCATCATGGTTGTGGTGTACCTGCGGATCTACATGTATGTCAAGAGGAAAACCAATGTTTTGTCTCCACATACGAGTGGGTCCATCAGCCGCCGGAAGACACCCATGAAGCTGATGAAGACAGTGATGACTGTCTTAGGTAAGGAGGAAGCAAGTGAGCCCTTATTCCCATTCACTCAGCAAACATTTACTGATTACCTAGAGTACGCAAGGTGTTTACCAGGTAATAGCAATGTGGTATTGAGTAAGAAGAGTCATAAATCCCCAACCTACTTGGAGCTTCTACTCCAGTAGGGGAAGACAACATAAGTATTGTATAGGGATAAACAAAATAATTTTATAGTGCATTTTAATATAATACTTATAAAATAAGGTAAGGAAGCTGAACAGGTCTAGGTTGCAATTCTAGCTTCAGCTAGAAGATGACTTTTGAGCAGATGTGAAGATGGTGAGGAAGCAAACCATGTGTGTCTGGGGAAGGTCACCAGGCAGAAGACGCAGTAAGCATAGGAGGCCAGAACAGCAAGGCGGCCCATGTGGCTGGAGTAGAGCAAGCCGGGAGAGTGGGAAGATATGAGGTCGGAGGGCTAGTGGGAGGTACTCAGATTATGTAGGTCTGTGTAGTTATTGTAAGGACTTTGGCTTTCCCAAGTGAGAGGAGAAGCCATGGGAAGGTTTTGAACAAGGAAGTAACATGATGGGACCTGCATTTTAATGGTATTTCTTTGGCTGCCATTTTGTGAGGGGAATAGGCAAAGGCAAGATTGCTAAAGAGGGTATTTCAGTACTCAGAATGGTGATAGTGACTGGGACCAGAGGGCAGTGGGAGGTAATGCCATGTGATTGGATTCTGGATGTTTTTTAAAGGTCAGGGTGATAGGATTTGCTGACAGGTAAGGTATGAAGCAAGGTGAGAGAAGGAGGGAGAGTGGGGAGTATCATTCACGGAGATGGGGAGGCTGAAGAGGTTTGTGGGGAAGATCAGGAGTTTGCTTCTGGACAAACTATGTTTAGAATTGTATTAGACATCCAAGTGAGTTATTGAATCAGGAGTTCAAGAATTAAGTCTGGACTGGAGATTCACTGAGAGTCATTAAGGGAAGAAATGGTCTTTCAAACCTCAAGACTGGATAGGCTCACCATGGCGAGGTGCATGTGGATGGTGAACATGGGGAAGAGGATCGAAGAACAAACCTTGGGATGCTCCGGTGTGAGGAGGGTGGGAAGGCAAGGAAAACTGGCAAAAGAACCCTCCCAGGAGTAGCTGGAAAACCCAGGAGAATATGGTGGCCTAGAAGCTGCGAGAAGAGAGCCATCAAGGAAAGGGAGTATCAGCAATGTGAATACTCTTTTGGGAGGTAGAGTTAAATGAGGTCATACTGGGCTTAGCTTAGCAAACAAGTAGTTTTTAGGTGACTTTGAGGAGCTCAAATCTGGTATAGCCAAGAGCCTGATCAGAACAAAATGAAGTAAGGGAGGAGAGGCCTTAAGATAGCATGTTTGAACAGCTCTGAGGACTTCCACTTTGCACCGCCAGCCCTGTTCCCAGAAGACGTATTTGGTGCAAGAAATGTTCCCTCTGTTTTATTTTCTCTCTGGTAGGCTGCCCCCCAATTCCAGTCCAGTTTGTAGTTGGAATTGGTGCTGCATGGGCTCACAGGCCCTGTCTTCTGTGTCAGAGAAGCCATTTCTTAGCAAGTGTGATGGCCGCAGCAGTGGGGACTGTTCCCGAGAGAGGTTCCAGAGCATGTCCTGTCCAGCCCCGATGTGAAGGAATTCTTGGGCAGCAATTCATAGTCGAGGACGCAGGGACTATGTGGTGTGGGACGGGAGCCATCAGGATATCTCTAGGTCCTGAACTTGCCAGTACGGTATGGAAGTCAGCAGACACACAGCATGATGGTTAAAATGATTTCAAACTGAGGGTGTATTTTAGTTAACAGGTAGTTATATAGTCCTTACTAGGTGTCAGGCATTGTCCTATGTGTTTTATAGATGATAATCGATTCCATCCTCATGCCAATCTTGTGATGTAGGTGCTACCATTAGCCTCATTGACCAGATGAAGAAACCGCGCAGAGCAGCCTGCCCAGGGCCCTCAGTGATGCATACATAAGGGCGTTAGTGTCCCTGGGCCATTGGCTTTTGGGGCCTATGTGTTTAGCACTATATTCTGCAGCCAGTTTTGATTCCTGGCTTTTGGACTTTTACTGACTTCCCTGGTTTCCTCTTTGTCCCATCTTCTGGTTTGGCTATGTCATTCTTCATTTAGCCTCTTGACAAGAATGTAGGCTAAGAGTAAGAAAAGGAAGGGGGGGCGGTTCACATCGATCAGTTTTTGCACCCTTGAACTAGGCAGGATACGGATGTTTTTGGCAAAGGTAACTAACATTCAGTTCTTACTGGTATTGTCCATGAATTTGCTATTTTCCCTTCTTGACTTACAAGCATCATTGTTTGGCCATGTGTCTTAAAGGCCATGTGTCAAGAAGGTAATGACCTTCTTGATTAAAGAGAAAGCACTCTCTCTCTCTCTCTTTTTTTTTTCCCCCAGCATTTTATGTATCATATACAGGGTGAGATAGAAAAGGTGTAATCTTAGGTGGGGAGAACAGGACTCCGTAGGACAGTCTTGGTCCCTAGCTTCAGCTCTGAATGTAACTTTGCCTGGAGTGGTTACAGAGGGTAAAATACAGGAGCAGTGAGGTTTGGGCAGGTCTGTTTGGATAAGGGGGGAAAAAACGGAATAAAGAGTGAAATTGCTAAGTAAGATGAGAGAAGTTGTGGTGCTGAGATGGAACAGTGTGGAGGAATTGGTTTATGGCGGGAAGACGGTTTGATGGCGAGGACCTGGGGAAGTTCCTTAACGGTGAGACAGAGGGATCTGGAGGAAGACGAAAAGTCTGGGGACAGAGGAAGTGAAACTGAAGGGCTGGGTGGTATGAGGTTTTTGGGCTTCTAGATCCTGATTTCTTCAGATTATAGAAGGTATGGTTTTAGCCTCAATCTGTCATTTCCCATAAGGGGGATCTAAAGTACATTATTAGCTCACCTTTTCCTGATTAAATTTCATCCTTCGAGGTGGAATAGATAAGCTTTAAATTCTTTCCAACGATAAAATCCTACGATCCTATAATAACAGTAAGTAACCAAAGTCAACACAGAGTTCAGTATGTTGACTGTGTATCAAAGCAGAGTCTTTTTCCATGAAAGCATCTCCAACAGCAGCTCCTCAGGGAGGAGGCTTCTCTGTTGCTCACTGGGATGCATGTAAAACTTCCATTGCCTAACGTGAGTGTCTCCCAGATGATAGTATCTTTGAAAATCAGCAGTGCTGGCTCTTCCATCATTGTAAGTTCTAAGTATGTGTATTTGTATTAATAGCTTAATATTGATTTCTGCAATGATTGTCTTATTTAATCATTTAAACCTTTTTTGCTTACATTGATATATATGTTGTAGGAAAGGTTAAGATGGAAGTTTCCTAAAAATATGCCTTCTTTTAAATATTAGAAAGTCATTCCATAAATATATATTAACCATCTCTTAAACAGCATCTAAAAGGCAGAGATGCATGAATTCAGGGAGCAGAATCTCATTTCAGAGAAGAAAGCTGGGATGGACAGGTGCTATTTTCCCTTCTTGACTTGCAAGCATCATTGTTTGTTTGGCCATGTGGGGACGGCTTCCTGGAGGGCTTGGGATGTGATCTGGAAGGATGGTGGGATGTGAATGGGCAGGGGGGAAAGGTATTTTAAGTCAGAGAAACGGCAGAATCAAAAGTGACAGTAGAAACCTCTAAACTTGGGTATTACCACAGGGAAGGCCCGTGCAGATGCATTCGTGGTACAACAGGAAGTAGCTCAATTGTGCAGCATATAGACTAAAATTGGAATGATATAGAGATGATGAGCATGGCCCCTGGGCAAGGATGACACGCAAATTCATCAACTGTTCAATATTTTTTCAGCCATCAAAAAAAGAAAAATGAAATCTTGCCATTTGCAACAACATAGGTGGAACTAGAGGGTGTTACGTTAAGCGAAATAAGTCTTATCTGACAAAGATAGTTATCATATGATCTTACTCATATGTGGAATTTTTTTTTAAGATTTTATTTATTTATTTGACAGACGGAGATCACAGAGAAGCAGGCAGAGAGAGAGAGGAGGAAGCAGGCTCCCTGCTGAGCAGAGAGCCCAATGCAGGGCTCGATCCCAGGACCCTGGGATCATGACCTGAGCTGAAGCCAGAGGCTTTAACCCACTGAGCCACCCAGGCGCCCCTCATATGTGGAATTTAAGAAACAAAACAGAGGATCATAGGAGAAGAGATGGAAAACTAAAACAAGATGACATCAGAGAGGGGGACAAACCATAAAAGACTCTTAATCATAGGAAATAAACTGAGGGTTGCTGGAGGGGAGAGGGATTGGGTAAATGGGGGATAGACACTGGGGAAGACTCATGATAAAATGAGCGCTGGATATTGTATAGACTGATGAATCACTGACCTCCACCTCTGAAACGAATAGTATACTCTATGTAAATTAATTTAACTTAAATTTTTTAAAAAAGGAAATTGCTCAGTTGTGAGCCAGGAAAGTTTAGTTGGCCATCCTCTTTGGAAGGAAAGAGGGAGACCAGATGACCTTTGTGTTTCTTTCCAGCATTAGTATTTTGGTTGCCTACAGAGCTTATAGAGCTGGACGGGGGGCAGACTTTTTCTTTGTTGAGGGAGGTGGTAGTAGTGATGATGGTGGTGTGAATCTTGAATCTGTCTATGAGTGGAAAGGCATCTAGGCATCATGTTCCCACTTTAGCAGCCCTGAGGCAGAGGCTTGCTCATTTCTGAGTCACAATGTGTGATGAGCCCTTGACATGAAAGAAGTTGCTTATTGAACGTTCCCATGGAAAAGACACTGTGGACATCTGATCCTGTTTTCTATAGGGCAGCACGGCCCTGCCTAAGAGAGAGTCGTGAATTTTGAAATCCTACCTGTTAACAGGGCTAATCGGCCTTAGCAACCAAACAGAAAGCCTTCCCCATGGAAGAACATCTGTTGTCAGACAACACTCCCTGTGAGCTGTGCACACGAGGATGTTCCGTTTCCGGGAAATGGACTGGATTTTCTTCTAT